CACACACACACACACACACACACACACACACACACACACACACACACCAGGGGAATGCCTGGTGTGTAATTGGTGTACACAGAGTGTGCTAATGAGCTTCCTCTTCTGTCACGCACACCTGAACACCTGATGGATAATTACACCTGTCGCTGTTTCCTGCTCACCCCCAGCTGTCTCACCCTCTGCTCTGTCGCCCATCTTTCACTTCCTCTTTGTCTCACCATCCGTCCGTCTCCTGTCGCCTGGCCCTTCTGTCTCTTGGTCTTTGAGCAGTTTTGTCCTCGTGATGGTTTCTTCATAGATCCTTGGCTTGTCCTGGAGCCTGAATGAAAACAGGGACAGGGAGGAAGTCGGGAGTGAAGAAATAAGAGGGAGGCGTTTGCACAAGGGCACAGGGAGCACAACGACTGAGTGGAAATCAATGTTAGCTGGTGGGGGAGACCTGCTCCAATATGGCCGTCGTTCTTTCACAATAACCGACAGCTCCACGCCATCAATCTCTTTGTGCTTCTGTGACGGCTGGAGACAAAGACATCGTCCCGCCATAATGAAGACACTTCCTGCTGTCCTCATGATTCTCTTTGGAGCTTCATTCATTGAAGCGGTTTCTCTCCACCCCGGCTGACGGGCTCATCTTTGAGCCGTGCATGCAGAGGTGGAGGACTGGATGTGTTCACGTTTCACTTCTGATCTTAACAAATAATTTTAGCACGACAGTCCAAACATGAGCAGGCTTCACTGGAACGTAGATTATAGCGGCGCTTCAGGGTTTTATATTAATATGTAACACCTGCCTTTTGCCTGAGTGGCCATCACAATGTTTTTCTGTCTGCTTTAACAACGAATTAACTTTGGAGGTAGGTACACTTCAGAATGTCTGCCACAGCCAGCTGACCTTCAAACGTCCAAAACTAAACGTTACTTAAAACTCACATCTGGTGCAGTACCTGACAGGAACTGTCCACACAAACTCCAAGCGCTAATAAATCTTGTGAGATGAAACAACACTGC